GCAATTGACACCTCAAGTCAATACCCAAGTGACAACTTTTACACGAACACCCCAGAGGACATGTGGGGAAATTGTGTTGGGCAGAGGCAATGAACTTCCTTCAAATGAGAGGTCTCCTGTGAAAAGTTAGGGTCATAAACCAAACAAACACCGGCAGAGGCCCAAGTGGGAACATGAAACTGTGATGCTAAGTGGCTTGACCTGTCATCAAGCATGACACCTGCTTAGTACATTTCCTTTCACTTTTATTATTACTGTTGTTGATTTTAAATAGATGACTAATGCCTGAGTATACTTCCTTTTTAGAAATTACAGAAAAGTTAAAATCTCCTTTGAACTCTAACTTTCCTCTCATCAAGATTGTTGCCAAATCTTGTCCCTTCTGCCTCCCAAACACAAGTAGCAGTAGTTGTCATTTTATTTTATTTTATTTTATTTTATTTTATTTTTATTTATACAAGCACCGGGTACAGTCAGAAGCACGGGAGGGTGAGAGAATTCACCAGAGCCAGAGCGGAGAGCAAAGCAGAGCAGGCAGACTGACGAAGTACACTGCTGAGGGGAGCAGCGGGTGGCAGGAGAGGTCTTCATGCCATGTGGGACCCTCGCCAGGCGGCCAGGGATCGAACCGGTGCTGCAGAGGCTGCGGGCAGCTTCACAACCCAGCACTCAACCGCTGTGCCACCAGGGAGGCCTAGTAGTTGTCATTTTTTAATTTACTTCTGTGGGCCCTTACTTACATGCAAGGCTAAGTCTGCTGCTTGGATTCTGCTGCTTGCTGGAGTGGAAAGTTCCTGTGGTAGTAGCCACGCTATCTTGACTGCCGTCTCAAGCAATAAAGTCTATGATAGATGGGGTGACAAACTTCAGCGTACAAACTGTATAAAACCTTACCATTCCTGCTATTTGGGCCCAGACTTTTGGGAGCTATCCCACTGATCCACTGGTGTGACAAATAAATCTTTCTCTCCACCTCTCTAAGTGCCTTCTGGTTTCTCTGAAAAGTGGCCATAACAGTATCACAGAAAACACTTCATTTGACCTTATATTTTATTAGAGGTTTATCAACTCACAGTATTGTGAGGTCTGAATCCTTTAAAATCAACAGCATTAGCTCATTCCTCTGTCTCTTCCTCACTGACTAATACAACACTTTTGCAGATTCTTTCCATTATAAACATTCATTGAGCAATTACCTAGTGTTGGGGATGCAAAGATGATTCAGTATGAATCCCTTAATCTTAATGTTTTCAGTGTCTGATGGAAAAAAATAGTTCTATCTTGTAGCCCTCTGTCTGAGTACCCCATGAAGAAGGATAAGTAGGTTCCTGTGGAGAGGTTAGCTTTGCTTTATGGGAAGGCAACAGAGACAGGTGTCAGCAAAGCTGTCTTAAAGGATGATTGGGGGTGTCCCAGGTGACCAAGCAGTGGAAACCACCGAGACAAAGGCAGTGAGTTGTAAGAGTTTAGGCACATTCAGTTTTCATGTTAGTGTGATTAGAGGAAAGGGAACAAGAAATAGCAAATTACATCAGAAGAGTCATCAGGGGTTACATGAATCACCAGTGACCTTAGACTTCACATGCTGCTTTAAGAGAGTGGATTCGGGGCCTCCCCGGTGGCAGGAGGGTCCCACATGGCGCGCAGACCTCTCCTGCCCCCCGCTGCTCCCCTCAGCAGTGTACCTTGTCAGTCTCCCTGTTCTACTCTCCGCTCTGGCTCTGGTGAATTCTCTCACCCTCCCACGCTTCTGACTGTACCCAGTGCTTGTATAAATAAATAAATAAATCTTAAAAAAAAAAAAAAGAGAAAGTGGATTCCATCAAAAGGGCTGAGCAGCTACAGAAGGATTTTAAACAGCGCAGTAGCAAGAAGTTAGGCAGTAATGTAACTGACAAATTGCAAACAGAGAGACACTAAAACCAAAGAGACTGGTCAGGAGGGGCTATTGTGATAATCTAAGAAGTAAATAATGAGGACCTGAGCTGAGACAATAGTAAAAGAAGAGATGTTTCCACACAGATTTTTATACCTATATTTTTTAATCCTCTTAGTGTGTTGAAGGACTCGAGAGCAACCAATGAAAACACTGAGAACAGAGGTTTCTGGGCCATAAAGGAGAGAAACTGATCTCTGATAGATGGGTGAAAAAAGAATTGAGACAAATAATATACTAGAGTGATAGTCATATTCAATGCCAGGAGAAAGCTGTTCAAGAGAGGAAATATGGGGCCTCCGTGGTGGCGCAGCGGTTGAGCGCTGGGTTGCAAAGCTGCCCGCAGCCTCTGCAGCGCTGGTTCGATCCCCGGCTGCTCCCCAGCCACCAGAGGAGGGTCCCAAATGGCGCGCAGACCTCTCCTGCCACCCGCTGCTCCCCTCAGCAGTGTCCTTCGGTCCTTCTGCCTGCTCTGCTCCCTGCTCTGGCTCTGGTGAATTCTCTCACCCTCCCGCACTTCTGACTGTACCCAGTGCTTGTATAAATAAATAAATAAATCTTTGAAGAAAAAAAAAAAAAGAAAGGAAATATGATTTAGTGTGTTACTGAGCTCTACAATGCATAAATTTGTCACTTCTGATTAGTGGTTTCCAGTTTCTAGAGCCAACCCATAAACAAAGCTGGGAAGACAGAACTATGGTCTCAGAAATAAATGTAAATACGATTAAGGTAGACAATGTAAAGTGAAAACAATAACTTCTGGGCGTGGACAGGAGTAAAATGGGGGTGGGGATCAAAGTTGATAGGTCTAGAAATAGCCAGAAAAGGACATTTTTATTTGCTGATAGAGAGGTGGTTGCTACAAGAAATCACTTAAAAAATTGAAAGTCCTTGCCTCTAGGCAGCAGGGTTAGTTTTGACAAGGTACAGGGTAAGAGCTTGATTTTTCCTTACAAGCCCTTTTGTACTGTTTTGTTTATTTTTATCACATGCATGAGCCCTTTTGTTAATTTTTTTTTTAATTTTAATGCATTTCTGCAGATGATATGTCTTCTCTTGATGGAGACATCATACACGAACACCTGAAAAGCAAAGCATAATAGGTGAATCATGTATAACCTCCCCAAGGTAATTCCCTGGGATAATGAGTCATCTTCCTATTTTAAATATATTCACTTCAGTTATCACAATTCAAGAAAAATAAGCTTAAAGTCCATCTCTTCTCATAGTTTAAGGATCTAAACGTCCAAGTGGCAAAGATGAAATGTGGTTTACACATTAGATCAGTGCCTTTAAAACTTTTTTTACCTTGGGGCCTCCCCTGGTGGTGCAGCGGTTGAGCGCTTGGCTGCGAGGCTGCCTGTAGCCTCTTGCAGCTCCGGTTCGTTCCCTGGCCGCCGGCAAGGGTCTCACACACACACACACACACACACACACACACAACTTTTTACCTTAGTAAAAAATACCCATAGTAAAAAATACATTTGTATGTGACCCAGTACCCATACACCACATAAATGAAGATAAACTTTTTAAAGAATAATACTTATTCTCACCATGTGTGATGTGCTCTGAAATTTTCTGTTTCAGTCTATTTTAATTTTAAAAAATACTTCTTTAAAATGATTTTAACGGGCCTCCCCGGTGGCGCAGCGGTAGAGCGCTGGGTTGCGAGGCTGCCCGCAGCCTCTGCAGCGCCGGTTCAATCCCCGGCTGCTCCCCGGCCACCGGAGGAGGGCCCCACATGGCGCGCAGACCTCTCCTGCCGCCCGCTGCTCCCCTCAGCAGTGTACTTCGGTCCTTCTGCCTGCTCTGCTCCCCGCTCTGGCTCTGGTGAGTTCTCTCACCCTCCCGCGCTTCTGACTGTACCCAGTGGTTGTATAAAAAAAAAAAAAATAATAAGAAATAAAAAAAATAAATCTTTAAAAATAATAATAATAATGAAATAAAATAAAATTATTTTAACAATCCAGTACTGTACTGTGACCCACAGTTTGAAAACCATGCTAATCACCCCTTTTCTTAGACCAGGAAATAAATGTGTTTGTAAAGTTTGGAACTTCTTGAGATCAGCTGAACCTTCTGAGTAGAGCTACTTGTTACTGATTTGTAAATAAAAACACTTAAAGTTGACTTCAGTCATCTTTGTGAGTTAGCATGCCCCCCCCACTTCTTTTCATTTCTCTTCTACTTCCTTCAAGTTTTCCCTTTGCTGTCACTGGTCCTGTGGGGCACATAGTTGGAAAAATTAAATTCGTTTCTGGAGTATTCTGAGATGGACGTCAGATATGCATGTAAGTTACACACTTGTATAATCTTGGTTGGGGCCTCCCTGGTGGCACAAGGGGTTAAGTCTCAGCACTCTGAAGCTCTCCACTGCCACTACAGCACAAGTTCAATCCCCAGCCAGGTTGGTGACCCACATGGCACAGCAGACCTCTACTGTCTTGCCCCCTGCTCCCCTCAGTAGTGTGTTTCAGTAGAGCCATCTGTTCTGCTCCCCTACTCTGTCTCTGGTGAATCCTCTCACACCCCACCCCAGCACCTCTGGCCTATACCCCAGGTCTTATATGCATAAATAAATCTTTAAAAAAAAATCTTGGTTTTTCACCCATATGTCCTCCATTTTGTTTGCACTTGCCTTCTGAAGTACAAATTTCAGACAACAATGTGCTGCTTATGAAACCATCAAAGCCCAACTCTCCCTCAAATGTTAGAATCTTAGACATTTTCTTTTTTTTTTAAAGATTTATTTATTTATGCATACAAGAGCTGGGATACAGATCAGAGGTGCGGGTTGCTCCCTGGCCAGCCAGGGATCGAACTCGTGCTGCAGAGGCTGCGAACAGCTTCATATTGCATCTTAACCACCAGGGAGGCCCTTGTGACATATTCAAATATGGCCATTTCCATCTTTGAAAGGCATAATTCTAAGTCTCACTTTTCATGTCTACACATTTTAACAAGAATTAGTAAAAACACAATCACTGCAAAGCTCATTGCACTAATAGAACTGTGACTGGACTAATTTAGTTTCTTGTTTTTCTTTTCTTGTGAAATTAAGATCTACAAGCAGCTATTGAAGAGGTGCTCCCAACCCTGAAAAAAGATGACGTGGCCGTCTATTACATGAGCAGGACCTCTAACACGGATGGGGTCGGCACTTTCCTGGACAAAGTGGATGAAGTGTCAACTGAACCAATCCCAGCGTCGTGGAGGTCTGAAGTCACTTTTTCTACGCCTGCCATCTACATTTATACTTCTGGGACCACAGGTAAAATTCAAGAGCGGTTTCTCAAGGAAATGGACCTATCCTTAAGGAGTTAAATGTTGGGGGTTAGGTTTTCAAATGTTCTTTCTTTGGCAAAACTTATCAGATAACTAATGCTTCAGGGGATTTAGCTCTTTTCCTGTGGGAACTGATCTTATTTCATAGTATATGATCGCATTTGGGTTTCTCCAAGCTACACATAGTTCCCCTAGCTGGAATACAGAACAGCTAAAGAGGTTAACCAAGAACCAACAAAGATGTTTATGATGGTGGATTAAATTTGAAACTGAAGAGGTTGGATTTTTTTTAATGGTTGTTGTATTTTGGTTATATTATCTCCAGAATCTATGAATGGTATATAGCTAATTCTTTTTTTTTTATTTAAATATTTTATTTTATATAATTCTTACATCTCTTTTCATCTTTGCACAATGTATGCATTTTCATTTTGGTTATACTCCCCATACTATTGCACCTTCCCCCCTTATTTTGACTCTAGTCCTTCCTTTCCCCGCCCCTCCCTCCCCACTCTGTAGTGTGTCTCTGGTTTATAGTTGCTTGTTGATTTTGATTTTTACTTTGTATTGATTAGTCTTTTTCCTGGTCTCTTATTTAGGTTTTCTAGATTCCTGCTATGAGTGAGACCATCTGGTATTTTTCTTTTTCTTTCTGACTTATTTTGCTGAGCATGATCCCTTCCAGCACCATCCATGTTGCTGCAAACTGCATGTGTTTATCTTTTTTGATTGCTGAGTAATATTCCATGGTATATGTACCACATCTTCTTGATCCAGTCATCTATTTTTGGACATTTGAGTTGTTTCCAAAGCTTGGCTATTGTAAATAGTGCTGCTATAAACATAGGGGTGCAGGTGCCCTTTGGAATTACTGTTTCTGTGTCCTTTGGGTAAATGGTATATAGCTAATTCTAAATGGAACACTAGAGAAGACTACAGAATAGTAATAAGGATATAATTGTTTTGACCACTATCTTCCCATGCCACACTGACCTGAAGTTGCTTGGTTCTGTGAGTTCAAGATGGCTGTAGGTCAGGGCCTCAAACGCAGCATTTCAGCTTGGATGCCTTCAACTCTAAGCTGCACCATTATTTTTTTAGCCACTAGAAAGAACTCTGCCAATTAACAGGTGTTATGGGAGCTCTGCTCTATAAAGCAGGCAATAGTAAGAGTATAATGAACTAGGGACATCGTGAAATTTTTTTGTGTAATTCTCCCATGACCCTTACATTGGGTATTAAGCTTATTCCTATTCTTCAAATTCAGAAACTGACAGAGCAGTTAAGAACTTTCCAAGATGATCCACAACTCCTACAACCAACCTTTTGCTGTAGCACCTCCTGTTTAATGTACTTAACAGTTAGTGTTTGCCAGGGAAAATGGTACTGAAACATAACAACATGAAATCTGAGCAATAGGGGCCTCCCCTGGTGGTACAGTGGTTGAGCGCTGGGCTGCGAAGCTGCCCACAGCCTCTGCAGTGCCAGTTCCATCCCTGGCCACCGGCAAGGGTCCCACATGGCGCGACAGACCTCTCCTGCCACGCCCGCTGCTCCCCTCAGCAGTGTATTTCGTCTGTCTGCCTGTTCTGTTCTCCGCTCTGGCTCTGGTGAATTCTCTCACCGCCACCCCCCCCCCCCACGCTTCTGACTGTACCCAGTACTTGTATAAATAAATAAATAAATCTTAAAAAAAAAGAAAGAAATCTGAGCAATATATTTATTTTTTTTGAATCACAGAGGCAGAATTTTATTTTTTTTATTCTTTATTTTAATTTTATTTTTATATTCCCCATGCAATTACAACCCCCTTATTTTGACCCCAAGCACCCTTTTCCTCGCCTCCAACACCCCCGTAGAGTGTCTCTGGTTCATAGTTGTTTGTTGATTTTGATACTTTCTTTCTTATAGTTATTCTTTTTCCTGGTCCCTTATTTAAGTTTTCTAGATTCCTGCTATGAGTGAGACCATCCGGTATTTTTCTTTTTCTTTCTGGCTTATTTCACTGAGCATGATCCCTTCCAGCGCCATCCATGTTGCTGCAAATTGCATGTGTTTATCTTTTTTGAATGCTGAGTAATATTCCATGGTATATATGTACCACATCTTCTTGATCCAGTCATCTATTTTTGGGCATTTGGGTTGTTTCCAAAGCTTAGCTATTGTAAATAGTGCTGCTATAAACATAGGGGTGCAGGTGCTCTTTGGAATTGATGTTTCTGTGTCCTGAGCAACATATTTAAAAGGACAGGAAACCCCATGCTGATTATTATTATTAACATTGGAAAATTGAAAATGTGAATCTTTTATCTTTCGTGCTAAATTTTTAATTTCGTTTAAACAGGTAATAGATGTATGCATTCTCCTTGTAAAATAATCAAACACTATAGAAATGGCTAAAGTTTCCTTTGAGCCTTTTGTCTCAACATCAGCCTGTAGGTACTCACTCCTTCACCTCAACAGGCCCTCAGCACCCCTCCAATCCCCCAAGCCCCAGACAGCATTTAACCTTGAATTTTTACTTCCTTTCATATAGTCACTTTTACTAAATATTTTCTTCAACTAAATGAGGAAGAAAGACTGGGAATGACATATTAAAGTTGGTGCCCAAAGCATTGTACCTGTTACTTTTTTTTTTAATTTGTCAAGTTATTTATTGCCACACACACAAAACAGTAGGATGACATAGTTAACCAAGTATTTGCACTGCATGCAGACACTACCTTAATATATGCAACTTTTATCCTCATTTCTTAATGAAATGGAAAAATTAAATTGTAATTTTTTTACATTTAATTTGGGAAACAAGTAAGATAAAATGATCTTCTGGTTTGTGACAGAGAGTTCTAGTCTCAATTCTTAATAGGCAATGATGGAAACTCTTCACAAAGCTGGCTTGGGCAGTCAAAGGGAAAACTCATTTTAGGGAGAAAAGGAGAATGAACTCTCCTTAATTTAATCCCATAATGCAGAATTTTATTTAATTAGAAAAGAGTTTCATTGACATTCATTTTACTTTTCTCCTTATCTCTGAGTAAAATATTTGCTAAGTAATTCTTGTAAACATTAATTCAAATAACTTAGTTAAGCAATTGGAGAACAAAATGTTTTCACTGTTGCTCAAAGGCAGTCATTAGTACAAATTCGTATAATAGTTACCAAATAGTCTTTTTTTTTTTTTAAGATTTATTTATTTATTTATTTATATAAGCACTGGGTACAGTCAGAAGCATGGGAGGGTGAGAGAATTCACCAGAGCTAGAGCAGGGAGCAGGTCAGGCAGAAGGACCGAAGTACACTGCTGAAAGGAGCAGCGGGCGGCAGGAGAGGTCTGCGTGCCAGGTGGGACCCTCCTCCGGTGGCCGGGGAGCAGCCGGGGATCGAACTGGCGCTGCAGAGGCTGCGGGCAGCTTTGCAACCCAGCGCCCAACCGCTGCGCCACAGGGGAGGCCCTAAATAGTCTTATTTTTTAATTAATACAAACTCTTACAGCAAAGTCTCTAAAAGTACTTCAAAACAACCAAAGATATGCATTTCTTTTTTAAAAATGATTCAGAGCTTCTGCTGTCCATATGATTCTTCCCCACAATGAATATCGCTAATTTGTTGCTGCTTTCCTCTATTTCTTTTTTTTTTTTTAAATATTTTTTTTTAAGATTTATTTATTTATTTATACATGCACTGGGTACAGTCAGAAGAGCGGGACGGTGAGAGAATTCACCAGAGCCAGAGTGGGGTGCAGAGCAGGCAGAAGGACCGAAGTACACTGCTGAGGGGAGCAGCGGGCGGCAGGAGAGGTCTGCGCGCCATGTGGGACCCTCCTCTGGTGGCCGGGAAGCAGCCGGGGATCGAACCGGTGCTGCAGAAGCTGCAGGCAGCTTTGCAACCCAGCGTTCAACCGCTGCGCCACCGGGGAGGCCCATGCTTTCCTCTATTTCTTAATATTAGTATAGAAAGCGGCATTAACACTAAAACAGTGTCACTGGCCCACTATCAAACAAAATGAGTTTTGAATAGCATTTGCAATAACAGTAACCTACTAGCCATACTACCTTGACTTAAAACAAATTGCTACTAATACCTAGCTAAATGGGCCACCAGGTATAAAAGGATGTGAGTCTGTGGATATCTACCTTCCTCTTCACAAAGCGGTTTTATACACTCCAGTCTTAAACTGTAATTCCAGTCCTGTAGAAGGACTTTTTGCTTTCTCCAACTAAACTGACCTGCTGTGGGAAACAAAGTAATCATAGACTTTAATAGGCTTACAAAAAATTCATATAAGTTACAATTTAAAAAAAGGCAAATTTTTTAGCCTAGTGTACTAAAACTACACTGAGATAATCGTATTTTACCTTTCACATTGACAGAAATCCCAGCATTTGAGATCACACTTTGGCAAGGCTATGAGGAATCCAATACACTCATGTATTTCCAAGGAGAAAATGAATGGTCAACCCTTATAGCCGGCAATGTGCCCTATCTGTCAAAATGACAGATTTTATCTTTTGACCCAGCAATCTCACTTTAGCAAATTTATCCAACAGTTATAGCATCAGTCACAGTGAATGTGGACCAGATTATTCACTGCAGTGTCATTTGAATATGCAAAATAGTGTCAATACAAAGAATTGGATGCAGCTGAGAGAGAATAAAAGAATGAATAATTAAGGGACATATCTATGTACAAATATGGAATGTGTGTATTTATAGAGACAGGTCTCCATGATACATGGTTAAGTGGAACAGGCAGAGGAAGTGCATATTTTTTAAATGGGGAAAAGGGCAAGAACATACGAGCAAATGTTCATATTTGCTTGTATTTATATAAGGAAATTCTAGAACAGTACATAAATTCTTTTTTTCTTTTTTTTAAGATTTATTTATTTGTTTATACATGCACTGGGTACAGTCAGAAGCGCGGGAGGGTGAGAGAATTCACCAGAGCCAGAGCAGGGAGCAGAGCAGGCAGAAGGACTGAAGTACACTGCTGAGGGGAGCAGCGGGCGGCAGGAGAGGTCTGCGCGCCATGTGGGACCCTCCTCTGGTGGCCGGGGAGCAGCTGGGGATCGAACCGGCGCTGCAGAGGCTGCGGGCAACTTCGCAACCCAGTGCTCAACCGCTGCGCCACCAGGGAAGCCCAGTACATAAATTCTTGAAAAGGGTCATAAAGGAAGGTGGTAAGCAATCTGATGTCCCTGAATCTCAGTCTCATCTGCAGATTGGAAAATATAAATCTACTTATTAATTATGAGAATTAAATGAAATTTTGAAAATACCTCGCAAGGTCATAGGCATAGAGCAGAAATTCAATAGATGTTCATTTCTTTGTCTTCAGCTTACTAACTGCTTGAACTCAGGGTCAGCAAACCATGAACTGTGGACCAAATACAAACCACTCCCCCATATGTTTGTGTAAGTAAAGTTTTACTGGAACACAGACATGTTCATCCCTTTATGCGTTTGGCAGCTTTAAGTTGCAATAACGGAGCTGAGTGGTTGCAACAAAGACCATATGACCCTGCATACCCTAAAATACTTACTGTCTAGTTTTACTTTACAGAAAAAACTTGCCGACTCCTGGCCTGATCATGGCCTTCCCCAGTGTGTTCTCTGAGCAGCAATTATGAGTCTTCCTAAGGGAGATCTCTCTTCCAGGTTCCGTGTTTGTGAATGACCAGTCTTGGCTCACTCTTGCCTTCTCTGGTATCTTTGCAAAGGTCTCCCGAAAGCTGCAATGATCAATCATCATCGTATATGGTATGCAACTGGCATTGCTCTTTCAAGTGGGATTAAGAAGGATGACGTAATCTACACCGCTCTACCCTTGTACCACAGTGCTGCACTTTTGATTGGCGTACATGGATGTATCATGGCTGGTAAGCTTTTTTGTTGAACAAGGTGTTTGAGATTAATCCATATTCAAATGTGCTCATAAGAAAGAGTAACATAAAATTAGTACCACTAACCCTAGACCCCTTCATTCCTTGTCCCAAGCAAAATTAATCTCCCTGCACACACACACACATACACACACACTCATACTTACATTCCCTTAGAACCTCATTTGAACCTCTTACTTACTACATGCTGACTTTTATTAGAAAGACTTATTTCTAATTCCTCACCAGATTGGAAGCTCCTATAGGACAAAACCATGTCTTATTCATTTTTTTTGCATTGAATGTAATTGGTGCTCAAACAGTTGTTTGTGAACTTAATTCATATTTAAAGTATACTTTTCAAAAATAACAAATGTAATGGCAGGCGGGGGGGTTATAGTATTTCCTTATTAACACACTGTTTGTACACTTTTCTATAGGTGCTACTCTTGCTTTACGGACCAAATTTTCAGCCAGCCAGTTTTGGGATGACTGTAGAAAATATAACGTCACTGTCATTCAGTATATTGGTGAATTGCTTCGGTATTTATGCACCTTACCCCAGGTAACTCTCCCCATTTTTCATCATCTTGTTGAAATATATAGAATGGGAATTCATGTCCTTTGGCTCATGCTAGTCTTCATCTTTTTCAGCATACCAGTTTTCAGTTTAGACTATGACTATTAGGCAGGATAAAGTGTGTGGCACCAAACCTGTCGTAGAGTGGATTTACTAAGACAGTTGCTTTTAATATTATTATTGTTGTTATTAGTATTATTATTATTATCATCATCATCATCCGCTGTCTTTTTACCTTTCTCTCTTTATATTTTTATGTAAGTATGCTTGAAATATAACATTATATTTGTTTCAGGTATACAACATAATGATTCAATATTTGTATATATTGCAAAGTGATCACCACAATAAATCTAGTTACCTTCTGTCCCCATACATAATTAGAACATTTTCTTCTTGTGGTCAGAACTTTTAAGATTTGCTCTCTTAGCAACTTTCAAATATGCAACGTAATATTATTAACCATTGTCAACACGCTGTACATTATATCCCCATGACTTATTTTATAACCGAAAGTTTGTTTCTGTTGGCCTCATTCACTCTTTCTCCCACTTCCCCACTTCTAGCAACCATTAATGTGTCCTCTATAACCTTGATTTTTTAATAGATTCCAAGCAAGCAGTGTGGCAGGAGCCCGGGCTGGGGGCGAGGGCTTTACTTTGCTGAGACTTTAGTGTAAGTGTGACAAAGCACCACTAAAGGGTTTTCTGTGAAAGAGTGATGTGGGAGAGACACTAAAGGAAGAGAGGTTTCTTCTGTGTAAAGTAGAGATTGAGCCTTACTCTTTCCTTCCTATGCGTGCTGCTTGCTTTTCTCCTCAGGGCACCAGGCAGAAGTATGACTTGTTCGTTGTTTATAACATGGATTTGGGAATTTTTCTAAGATGTTCTCTACCTTCTGCCTTTTCATCTCTTGGAAGTCCTCCAAAAGCAAGGGCAAGAGAAAGACACCAAGCTCCAACATCTTAAAATTAAGAGACCAGGAACTATGTAGTACAGACAGCCAAAAGATGAAGGTCACTGACCTAGCAGGACTGAGAGGGGAGAACATTAAGAAGCAGGTGCCAGCAAGAAGGAAGTCAACTGACTTCCTAAAATCTAAGAAATTGGAAGCACTGAAGATGGGATGAGGTGTCAGTCTTCACAATAGGATTTTAGAGACCTGTGAAGAAGCACCTCCACCTGCTACTCTCTTTTCTAGCCCTGTAGGAGAAAGGAGGTTTATTCTCTGGGTAACTAGAAAAGCTTTGAATGCAAGCATCCCAAGAACAGAGGAGGGCAGGGATGAGGCACTAAATGTAGAGACTGAGTAACTGCTTATTGACTCAAAAGGCCCCAGCTCCCTTCCCCTGAACAGTTTCCAGAACTCCAGTGGCCAGTTTATGCTTGTAGACGAGAGACTAAAGGAAGGTAATTCTTAGGGAAAACTAAACTTTCCCAGAAGAAACTGGATATTGGCTCACTGCCCCATAACCAGGCAGTACAGTCCATCTGGTGGCTCCTCCCCATCACACAAAGCTGCTCAAATGTCTTTGCATGGTCTTACTCCTAAATATGAACAGACCTCAAGGATCACCTGATACATGAGGAGAACCCCAAAAGAAAAGAGCATCAGGGCCTCCCCAGTGGCGCAGTGGTTGAGCGCTGGGTTGCAAAGCTGCCTGCAGCTTCTGCAGCACCGGTTCGATCCCCGGCTGCTCCCCAGCCACCGGAGGAGGGTCCCACATGGCGCGCAGACCTCTGCTGCCGCTCGCTGCTCCCCTCAGCAGTGTACTTCAGTCCTTCTGCCTGCTCTGCTCCCTGCTCTGGCTCTGGTGAATTCTCTCACCCTCCCGCGCATCTGACTGTACCCAGTGCTTGTATAAATAAATAAATAAATAAATCTTTAAAAAAAAAAAAAGAAAGAAAAGAGCATCAAAAGAGTAGAAGAAAAGGGGCCTCCCTGGTGGCACAAGGGGTTAAGCACAACTCTGTGAAGCTGTCCACAGCCTCTGCAGCATGAGTTCGATCCCTGGCCAGGGAGCTACCCACATGGCACAGCAGACCTCTCCTGTCTCACCCACTGCTCCCCTCAGCAGTGTATTTCAGTCAGTCTGCCTGTTCTGCTCCCCACTCTGTCTCTGGTGAATCCTCCCACCTCCCCCCACGTCTGGCCTATACCACAGTTCTTGTAAGCATAAATAAATAAATCTTTTTTTAAAAGAGAGAGAGAGAGAGAGAAGAAGAAACAGCATCAATTCAAAGAGCAGGAGGAAAAACCTCCAAAAACTTATAATGACTATCCTCAGAGATATTAGAGAAGATAAATACATAAAACAAGAATAATGTACTATTCTAAAAGCAGAGTAAGGCCTGAAAAATAAGAATATGACTTTTGTTTTTAATTCATGGAAAGTTTGAAAGATGAAGTTGAGAATTCTTACAGAAAGTTGAAGAAAAGATGAAGTGATGGACATGAGGGAGACAAAATAAGAAAATTAAAGGGCTGATCCAAGAGTTTTGATAGCCAATTAAAAGTAATCAGGAGAAGAGACTAGAGAATGGAGAGGAAGAAATTGTCAAAGAAAAAATTATAGTACCAAAAGAGAGGGAACTATACCATAATGACATTAAATAAATTTTATTTATATATTTTTTAAAGATTTATTTACTTATTTATACAAGCACTGGGTACACTCAGAAGCGCGGGAGGGCGAGAGAATTCACCAGAGCCAGAGCGGGGAGCAGAGCAGGCAGAAGGACCGAAGTACACTGCTGAGGGGAGCAGCGGGCGGCAGGAGAGGTCTGCGCGCCATGCGGGACCCTCCTCTGGTGGCCGGGGAGCAGCCGGGGATCGAACCGGCGCTGCAGAGGCTGCGGGCAGCTTCGCAACCCAGCGCTCAACCGCTGAGCCACCGGGGAGGCCCGACGTTAAATAAATTTTAAAAAGGAGAGAGGAGAGGGAGTGGAAGACATGGGCATGGGAGAGGAAAGGAGTGAAGCTATCTAAGGATAACATTTAACTTGCCAACAAAACAAAACAAGCTGAAAGATAAAGGAGCAGTGACTTCAAATTCTAAATAAAAATTACTGCTTACAAGAATTACATATTCAACCAAATTATCAGTCAAGTGTGCAACAGAGAATGTTCTCAGACATTCAAAATCTTGATGAAACATTACTTCATATACTCCCTCTTTTAGGAAGTTTCTACAGGAAACATTCTGTTCAAACTGAGTGAAAATAGAGGAAGACAGGATCCAGGAAAGAGAAGCAAAGGGAGGGTATCCACAGGACTAAGGAGCAATTAGTCCACATTGGAGCAAAATGACAAAAAGAAGCATCATGGGAAAAAAGGAGACTGGAGGATGAGGAAAGACTTGCAAATAGAAACTGAGAAAACAAAGCAGGGGCCTCGCCTGGTGGCACAAGCAGTTGAGTGACGCCCTGTGAAGCTGTCCGCAGCCTCTGCAGTGCGAGTTCAATCCCGGCTGGCCGCGGAGATACCCACATGGCATGGCAGACCTCTCCTGTCTCACCCGCTGCTCCCCTCAGCAGTGTACTTCAGTCAGTCTGCCTGTTCTGCTCCCCACTCTGTCTCTGGTGAATCCTCTCACCCCCCCACACCTCTGGCCTGTACCCCAGCTCTTGTATAAATAAATAAATCTTTAAAAAAAGAAAGCAAAGCAAATGGACAGGATGACAATCCAAGGGGAAGGATGTGTTCATAGTAGATTGCTTGCTTTCTCAGTGGTGTATCATGAACTCAATAATGTGAGCACTAAATGTTAATTAAGCCAAAACTGTGAGTGGAAAAATGAGAAAGACTGGGATAGGGCTTAATCCTCATCTAGCACGAGGAAATGAATGCCGTCTTAAACTGATGAGTCAACAGATAACATTATATGCATTTAATTTAGAAATGCAGGGGTAAGAACCAACTACTAGAAGAGTTAAACATGCCTGTGGTCGGTACACTAAACAGGAAGGATGAGGATATCAGTGAAATGAACAGCATTTTCCATTTGAAAGTCTTTCCAGTACGACTTGATTCTTAAACTATGTCTTTTTTCCTTTTTTTTTTTTAAGATTTATTTATTTGTACAAGCACTGGGTACAGTCAGAAGCGTGGGAGGGTGAGAGAATTCACCAGAGCCAGAGCGGGGAAGAGAACAGGCAGACTGACGAAGTACACTGCTGAGGGGAGCAGCGGGCAGCAGGAGAGGTCTGCGTGCCATGTGGGACCCTTGCCAGTGGCCAGGGATTGAACCGGCGCTTCAGAGGCTGTGGGCAGTTTCGCAGCCCAGCGCTCAACTGCTGTGCCATCGGAGAGGCCCTGTCTTTTTTCCTTTTAATTAAGAAAAAAAAGCACTCTCTGAAGTCACCTTCATCTGGATTTGGATCTTGGAGCAACTACATTGCTACCCCTGTGATCTGGGGCAAATTGTTTTCAGCTTCTCAAGGCTCCATTCCATTTCCTCCATTGTAACATAAGGCAAATATTTGATTCCATTTCATCATTTGGTAGGATTCTTTAGAAACTTAAGTAAGACAATACGGGTCAAATGCCTGACACATGGTAAAGCCCTCAATAACACCTTTCTGCTTACTCTACCTGGTGCCCCACATTCTTCCCTGGGTACCCTGACCTCTTGCTCTTCCTAAGCCGTTAAATCCCAGTGTGAATTTAGGTCCCCTGGTGTGCTTGCCTACTGCATGTTAGAGAGAGGAAATAGAGGGTTTGATTCTTGATAAAGAAAAATGAGCAGGTGGCCACTAAGCTAAAATACAGTCCCTCTGATAAATATCTTTAGTGATAAGATAACACTTTCTCTTAGTTGAAAGAAAAACTCAAGTCATACTCATGTCATACTCTCAGCCAGGGGGGAGCAAAAGCTTAGGTGAGAACCAGGCAACTCAGAAGCAACAGGTGGGATCTCCCATTTTGTGGCCACAAATATTTCCACCCTAGCACCTTAATCCTTTGTGCTGGGTAATAAGATCCCTCGGTTTATAATGAAAACTGAGCCCATGGTATTGTGACTATGAGCCCAACTACCTGCCACCCGCAGGTGACAGCTGCACCTGTGAGGCTGGCCTGCTTCCCACAGCCAGGGCCTGCAGTCTCCTGATCCCTAAGCCCTGCCCTTGTCCCAGTGTCCTGTCATTAACTGTTGAACAGGCAGTTGAAGGATTCCTGGAGGAGGTTGATTTCTTCTTTCATTGGAGCGATTGTACTATATGCAAAGCACAGATCTGGGCACCGTGGATGACATATAGTTGACCTCAAAAGAGTTTGCAACCCAACAAAACAGAGAGATGTTTACCTCCCATTAGACATAGAAATTATGCTGGGCTTCAAATAGAATAAGGAAGGTCTCAGGTTAACACATTGAAAGCTACTTTGAGCTCCTCGTGGAAGCCTGAGAGCAAATAAGCCCAAGGTCAAATGGTTATTTTTTTTTTAAGATTTATTTATTTATGCATACGAGAGCTGGGGTACAGGCCAGAGATGCGGGGGAAGGAGTGTGTGTGTGAGAGGATTCACCAGAGACAGAGTGGGGAACAGAACAGGCAGATCCACTAAAATACACTGCTGAGGGGAGCAGTGGGTAAGGTGGGAGAGGTCTGCTTTGCCATGTGGGTTTGTTCCCTGGCCAGCTGGGGATAGAACTCGTGCTACAGAGGCTACAGATTGCTTCATAGTGTGGTGCTTAACCCCTTGTGCCACCAGGGAGGCCCGGTTATTTATTTGTTTAATTTATTCATTTATTACTTATTTATTAATTCCTTTGTAATCTTCTCAGATCAAACCAGACATTGTTCTAAGACTTTATATATATATTACATACATTAACTGATCTAATGTTCTTAACATTTTCATGAAGTAGCTTTAATGACTACCCTCATATTACAAATACTGAAATCACATCAAGAGCTTGTGCTAATGAGATGAGAAAGATATTAAGCCAGTTTCCTCACTGTATGTGACATTGTATACATAGTTCATTGAGGTAAGCACATCCAAAAAAAAAATAGTCTTCAAATATATGTGGTGTTTTAATATCAGAGTAGCAGTGAGGGACAACAGTGGGGTTGGGGGTGGGGGTGTGTCTCTGAAAAACTGACTGTCCTAACCAAAGAGAACCATACCTAATGGTCAGGGTGACCCTACAATTCATTCTCCAAACAAGACCTGTGAAAGTGAAAAGAGTGTCATTAGTCAGTACGTCAGCACAACAGGCATAAACAGGGACTGGCTCTGGTACATCGGACAGATGGTCTCCTTACTTCTAAGAACTTGGTAATTAGGACAGGGAAGAGTTTTGTGACCTATGGACTAGGGAGCTGATTAAGAGAATACATTTTCACTCCATCAGAACACCTAGGTTCCTGCAGGTTCAGAAGTTTCAGAACTTTCCCGAATGCCCAGGTTAGGAACACTGGCACGAAGCCCCTGGTGTTTCTCTCCACATTTCCTCCTCAGAAAGCTGACTTAAGGGGCCCACTTTTTACCAGTGGCCAGTATCTGAACACCTCTTGGGCTGGGTCTCCTGAATAAGCTTCGTCACCAAAAGTTTGACCAAGGAGCTACTTTTTTTTTTGGGGGGGGGGGGAACCCTCACCTGGGAACAAGCTGGTGCTGCCGAGGCTGCGGGCAGCCTCACAGCCCAGCGCTCAACCGCTGCGCCACCAGGGGAGGCCCCTAAGGAGCTACTTTAAAATGAAATGCATAGGCTATTCTCCACCCCATTCCCCAGCCCTTGGCTCCTTCTGCTTGGAAACCAGTTCAGGGTTTGTTTTGGTTGGGTTTTTTGCCCAAGGGCCCTCCCCCTTATCAAAGAACTGCCAACCTCTCCCTTTGACAATTCTTTTCAAGAGGAACTGTTATTCAAAATCATTTCACAGGGCCTCCCTTGTGGCACAGGGGGTTAAGATGCAACCTATGAAGCTATCCACAGCTATCGAACTGCAGCACAAGTTCGATCCCCAGCCAGGGAGAAATCCACATGGCGCAGCAGACCTCTCCTGTCTTGCCTGCTGCTCACCTCAGCAGTGTATTTCAGTCAGTCTGCCTGTTTTGTTCCTCACTCTGTCTCTGGTGAATCCTCTCACCCCCCACACTCCTGGCCTGTATCCTAGTTCTTGTATATATAAATAAATCTTTTTTTAAAAAATCATTTCACAGTGATTTAGCAGTGTAGGAAATAATGTAGAAAATGCGCTTTAGAATGTGCTCTTTTGAGCAAATTACTGTTAAAGAAATTAATATTTGATGTAAGAGGAAGAGCTCTAGTTACCTGGCACGTTTACCCCATTCCATTGTTTTCTGCTAAAAGTCATAGAGTTACTCAATTTGCAAGCTGAAGTTTTATTTATTTACCTGTCTCTCCCACTGGCTTTGATCTCCTGGAGGACGTAATTGCCTTAGTAATATAAAGTTTCAATAAAATCATCATAGGCTTGGACCTATTTGTAGGAGCCTCATAAATGATTTTGGTTGCATGGAAAGCAACCATATCTCAACCCCACCCCTTGCTGATTCAAGCTCTCCTTTCAGTTCTTATACTCCAAACAGCTTTCCTTTGTGATTTTTATTTATAGCAAAGCATATTCCTTCCAGGCCACCTGAGACAAGAGGAAGTCAGCTTCCTCCTCTCTTCCCCTTCGTATCCTTTCGGGACAGTTTCATTGTCTTGGTTCAGCACTAACTGGTCTTGTGACCTCTGCATCTGTCTGTTAAATGAAGGCATGATGGAGAGTCTTCTCTCCAGTGCCCTCAGGCCCTGATGAATCAGCCAGGGGCCTGGAGGGCCCACAGAGACTCTCAGTCTTGTCCCGTGAGGAAAGAATTCAGTGTCAGGACTAGAGTTAAGCAGCAAAGCAAGAGATTTATGGATAAGTAAGAGGAAGGACAGGAAAGCTCTCTGAGAAGAGAGGGATCCTGAGAGGGTAGCTATTGAGGGGGCAAGAAGTAGGTGTTTATAGGGGAATAATGGACAAGGAGCAGGGGTTTGGCCGCTGGGTATCTCTGAGTTGTGTCTCTTGCTGGGGCCTGTGGAGTCTCCGAGGTTACTGAGACCCACTGAGTTTCCCACATTACCTGGCCTGTCTTCCCAGAACCAGCTTTGGTCCTTTGCTTTAGCATTGTGTTACTGTGTTGGTGTTCAGAACATTCCATTTTTAATTGGGTTGGAGAACACCTTGACGCCAAACGATTATTAAATGGACATAGGGTTCCTGGACTTGGAGGACACCCTCCAACCTATGGTACCTTATTCATATTGATAAGTGGTCTGGGGACACCTGGGCTGGGCGCTTGGGGCACCCTGTTCCTCACTGACTACCTATTTCCTAATTTCCTTAGTCACTAACTCTATGCTCTTCAATGGCTCTATGGCAAAGGATTCTCTCTCCTTTGAGGGTACTCTGTTGTCTTCTTCATTGTCAAGTTAAAATCATTGCTTCAGATTATATCAGTCTCTGCCTGATCTTTGCCTTGTGTCCCCTCCTTTCTGGCAATTCACCAACCCCATCAAGAAAACAATTGACACATTATTCTAGCTTCAGATTGTGTATCAATTAAAAATTCACATCACTTAGTTTTGTCGTATTGTTTCACTTTATCTCTTAAAAATTGAAATGGGAAAATCTAAGTTTTGGGGTTATTAAATCAGAGTTCAGATTGTTAACTCATAGTGGGGCAGAGGCAAAGGATGTGTTGGGGAGGCCAAAACTGAATTTGTCACGAACATGAATATGAAGACATTTAAAGACAATTATTGCTATGTAAGTACAGGCTCCAGAGATATTTCAATTTGGTCTGCTTCCCCTCCTGTCACAGAAACCAAATGATCGTGATCATAAAGTGAGACTTGCAATAGGAAATGGCTTGCGAGGAGATGTCTGGAGAGAATTCATCAAGAGATTTGGGGACATTCACATTTATGAGTTCTATGCTGCGACTGAAGGCAACATTGGCTTTTTGAATTATACAAGAAAAATCGGTGCTGTTGGAAGAGTAAACTACCTACAGAGAGTAAGTACATGGAAAAATAAGAGAATACATAGCCAGTTTTCAAAATAAAGTGATTTCTTAAAAGCTATGTCATGATGAGGTTAATATCAGAGTTTCATGCAATATCTAAGCTATGGCCCATCCATATCACTGAGAGGCTTGGCTCATTCTCTTTGACAATGATCTCAAAGGGACAGGGTCATCTAATTTTAAAATTTTAATTTCTATTCATAACAACTTTTTATGCCTTTACAATCTGCAATTTATGGAAAGTCTCCCTGGTGCCATTCATTCTTGTATATTGTAAAACATCTGAGGTTAGCAGTGCCTCAGTTGACCACATACTGCAAAATGTGCAATTTCCTTTTCATCATGGTGCATCACAATCACCCCAGGAACTTCTTATGTATATACAGGTACAGGGCCCCACCCACTGAATTTTGAATTCTGTTGTTCTGGATGGGGCCCAGGCATCAGTGTTTCTTAAAAGCAAGCTCTGCAACCAAGGTTAAGAACCACCATCTAGGACCTCCCTGGTTGTGCAAGGAGTTAAGATACAACCTATGAAGCTGTACACAGACACTGCATCACAAGTTCGATCCCCAATCAGGGAGATACCCACATGGTGCAGCAGACCTCTCCTGACTCACCCGCAGCTCCCCTCAGCAGTGTATTTCGGTCAATCCACCTGTTCTGTGCCCAACTCTGTCTCTGGTGAATCCTCTTACTCCCCACACTTCTGACCTGTACTCCAGTTCTTATATGCATAAAATACATAAATCTTTAAAAAAAAAAAAAAAAGAGCCATCATTTAGGCCTTCATGAGAACTGTGATCAATCCCAGTTCTAGGATCTTGTAAACATTTATGTTCCCCTAATAGCTCAATGAGACAGACACTTCTTAATTTTAAACCAGCTCTTATAGCAGTCTCTTTTCCCACAGTCATTTTATTGCCTGGGGTCCCCAGACAAACTTTTTGTTTTTTGGGCTCAAGTGGTCACTCTAGATGATCACCTATTCTGAAAACTCCTGGGAATATTCAGTGAATGCTGAACCTCCTGGCTTGAGCAATTGCTACTGTCTTTATACCTCTGTGCAGCCCATCTGCTGGCCATGAAATAGCCACACTAGAGCTCCCAGGCAACTGCATCCCCAGGGGTGGACTTGCAGAGGAGAAAGGAGAGTATCTGTGCATAAGCGATCTGCCTCTAGAGATCAAGCTCTAACATCATCACATACCACCTGTGTGACCTTGGGCAAGTCATTTTATGTTCCTTAAGCCTCAGCATCATCGCCTGTAAGCAGAAATAAAAAGAGAAATTTCAGAGCCCTTTGCCTGACCCAAAATCAGTGTTAATAAGAGAAAAGGGTGCTGAAAGGATTAAATCAAGTAACTTATGAAAAAGTCCTTCAGTATCTAGCCTGTCATATGAGAACTTTGTATAATTGTTGGCTGCAGTGATTATTACCATTCTATTCCTCGTATTCTGACTTGATCTCAAGGCATTTTGGAATCCAACGATCCTCCCTGACAATGACAACCAAACGTCTGCTGCACTGTCCTCCACTCCTAGGCAGTCCTGTATGGTAGCTGCTTCTACATGTGGCTATTTAAAATTAATCATGAAAATAAAAATTTGAATTCAAAAGGATACCTTTTGGTCAGTTTTCAAGGGTTAATTTTAAAATTTGTCTTTGACCCTTTGTTTTTTCTATATCCCACACATAAGTGACATCATTTGGCATTTAGCTTTCTCCTTCTGGCTTATTTCACTTAGTATAACTCCTTCCATCTCCATCCATGTTGCTGCAAATGGCACGAATTTATCTTTTTTTAATCACTGAGTAGTATCCCATTATGTGTATACTCCACCACATCTTCTTGATGGTTATACAAGATTTATAAAGGCCACTTATGATATGTCCACCAAAATACATATAGAAGAATATTCATAGCAGCTTTGTCTTTAAAATTTAAAACTATAAATAATCCAATGTCCATTAGCAGGAGAATAGATAAATGGGGTATAGTCATACAAGAGAAATTACATGGCAATAAAAAAGTCAACCACTGAAACAAACACCAACATGAACGATGGATGAATATTACAAACATTATATTAAGTGAAGAAAGGCATGTGTTTACTTCGCTATTTTAAAGTTTAAAAATAATGTCAGAATATCAGTTAACTTGACAGAAAGAAGCAGGAGAAACTTCCTAAGGTATTGAAAGTGTTTTGTATTTTGATCTGGTTGGTAAATACATGGGTTTATAGAGTTATAAAATTCATCCAGCTCACTGAAAATGTGTGCACTCTGCGTACTTTATGTATGCTATCCCAAAATATAGAAAAAAATGTGAAAGAATTTGTACTCATATGATATCTTTTATTTTGCTAGAAAGTCATAGCTTATGCACTGATTAAGTATGATGTGGAAAAAGATGAGCCTGTCAGAGATGGAAATGGATACTGCATCAAAGTTTCCAAAGGTAAAGTAGCCTTTTGTTCGATTAATCTGTGCCTCTTCACACCTTGACCAAGTCACTTTTTTTTTTTTTTAACTGAGCTAAAGTTGGTTTATGTCATTATATGTGTTTTAATGGTTATAGGTTAAAAATCCCTACAGATGTATATTTCCATGCCTTGCCTACCACCAAAGCCCCGATAATCCTCCGTCACACTCTACTGGGCACCCCTCCCTTCCCTCCTTCATGCCTACCAGCTTCCCCTTCTTGTTGCCTCAGTTTTGTGGTCAGATGTCAAGGGTTTGTTACTGCTTTGCTTTGTCAGACCCTTTGTTTTCTCTATATTCCACGTATAAGTGAAACCATCCAGTATTTGTCTTTCTCCTTTCGATTTATTTTATTTGGCATTATCCTCTCCAGTTCCATCCATGTTGTTGCAAATGTCAAAAATTCATCTGTTTTTTTATAACTGAGTAGTAGTCCATTGTGTATCTGCACCACATCTTCTTGATCCACTCATCTGTCCTTAGGCACTTAGGTCTATAACTTGCCTATTGTAAACAGAACTTTGATGAACATAGAAATGCATATATCTCTTCAAATTAGTGTTTTTGCATTGTTTGGGTAAATACCTATGAGTGGAATTGCTGGGTCATATGGTAGATCTAGTTTTAACATTCTGAGACAACTCCATACTGTTTTCCATAGAGGCTGGACCAGTCTACATTCCCACCAGCAATTTGCAAGGGTTCTTTTTCTCTACATTCCTGCCAACACAAAACCAAGTGACTTTTAAGAACTAACATGTTATTGCTAAAATGAACACATGGTAAAATCAGAGTGAAAAAAAAAAAAGTTTGCTTAAGTAGCCTCAAATTCCAAAGGGTGCCAATTAACCACTACATGTAACATAGTTATAGTTTTAAATCTAGCTTAACAACTTCTTAATTATTAGGTAAGCATTTTGTGGGCAGGGATATATAATTGGGGTTGTAGAACTATAATTAATTTTTAAAATCTTTACCTTTAAGCTTAAACTACTATGCATTTATCTGTGTGCATATTATTCAGTAAGAGATTAGCATTAAAAGAAATGTGTGACCCTACAGACTAATATACAGTGTGTTTGTGTGCATGTGTATAATTATGGATATGCATGTGCATGTGCAGGAAAAATGGCATTTCCTGAGGCCAACTGGTTGCCAAGGAGTTGCATGGCAGTAGTTTCAAGAGAAGGTTAATAATAAAATTTGCCTGCTGCTAACACATAAAATAACAATTCACTTTCCTCTCTCTTAGGTGAAGTTGGACTCCTGATTTGCAAAATCACACGACTTACACCATTTGCTGGCTATGCTGGAGGAAAGACTCAGACAGAGAAGAAAAAACTGAGAGATGTCTTTGAAAAAGGAGACATCTATTTCAACAGTGGAGATCTCTTAATGATTGACCATGACAATTTCATCTATTTCCACGACAGAGTTGGAGATACATTCCGGTGGGTTTCTGAGAATTATTGAGCCAAAACAGACACATGCATAGTATGGCTTACTCTTGAATGGAATTGCATTCTATTTTGGTTATGGTGCTCCATTACCTTTTATATCTTTAGTGTCTCAGTGCAACCCCCTGTATTCCCAGAAAATAAGGAGCAAAATACATGAGCTGTCAATCTGTAGTACAAAGTTAACTTAGTTGAACACCACCAGATAAAAATAAGACAGAAAACTTGTGTCTGATTTTTGGAACCTAAGTAGCTAAGTCCATCCAGTTCTTGTTTATCCTCAGTTATTACCGGTCACTCTTAGGACCACCAGGAATTTTCACACTCTTTCTAATCATAGGGCTTTTCTTCAGATAAAATCCAATTCAAAATAATACAGACTTCTTTGAAAAGGAAATGAAATCTCCAAGTCCCACGGCTCCTCTCTCCCATTCTACAATTTCCCTACCAGGCAGATTCCCAGAGAACCCCAGGTCAGCACATTGAAGTTTAGAGTCAATGAAATTAATTCCCAACAGTAGCATGATCCTCCAGCCTTGTGACACTTTTGTTGAATCAGCTGTCTTCCTGTGTAAACTACCTGAGGCCAGTCTTATTCACCCCCAGCACCTAGCACAGCAGGCAGCACATATGACTACTTTTTGCATGTATGGATGAAGGAGAAATAGCAAATGTAGACTGTAGTAGAAGGGAGCATGTATATGAATGAAAAGAACTAAGTCCCCAGACCAGCCTCTTTACCTGACAAGCTGTGTTATTAAGACAGGTAACCGTTCTAGATCTTAGTTCCTTCACCTATGAAAAGGGTGTCTCCAGGATCATCAGGATATCCTTCATGTCTAACACTCTGTGACTCCAGATCCATTTCATTATTTTATGTCAACTTCATATTCCTTGAATAATAATTCTGGAAGATCTAATAAAGCTTTAAACTTAAGACAAATTTTAACTCTGTTAAGTGAAAAATAACATTCTCATTTCCCTGCTGATAAAAAGTATGATATTTTTCCTTCTATTAAAAGTTTTCTTATGGCCATGAGACTTTGAAATTCTATTAAATAGAAATTCACTAAATGAATTAAATAGCAACTGAAGTTAGTGAATGTGAAAAGTAAGAGGCCTACCTAAGCACAGCAAAAAGTAATTGAGATTTATTACTTTTATTTCCAGTGCCTTTCTTAGACCAAACCTGTATTTTTATATGAGAATAGCATCATCATCATCATGTTTCACACAATAAGGTTGAAATTTCACAATTTATCATTTAGTCCTATGTCTTTGTTTTTTATTCCTCAAGCAGAACACCTCTCCCATGACTAAGCTCGGGAGCTTGGAGGTCAAGACAGGAAAATGAGTACAGCCACTCCATAGAGATCTGAAGATGACACCTAATTTCTGTCATTGAGCCCAGGCCAGAGGCCCAGCAACCTCTGCTAATGCTGTCTTTTCTTCCAGGTGGAAAGGAGAAAATGTGGCCACTACTGAAGTGGCAGACATACTAGGACTGGTTGATTTTGTCCAAGAAGTGAATGTTTATGGAGTACCTGTGCCAGGTATGCACACGATGTTATAAATCTAGGCCTAGACTCTTACAGTAACTGAATTTAATTTTAACCACAGGGCAAAGTTTACCATCTCTTTCCCCCACCATGTGGAGACTCAAACAACTCTTTCAATCACCTGGGAGTTTATGTTCTACTGTAAATCGGCCATGCAAGTACATCTGAATCGGCCATGCAAGTACATCTCTGTAGCTCGGCTCACCAGCTGTTCTTAGGTTCACTGGCAAGCCAGATCTCTCCAAGGTACGGGGTCCCATACTAGGATTGGCACATCTTGAGAAAAGATGTGTCACTGGTTAATAGCTGGGAAATGGCGTCTTAGCCTTTGAACTTGAAAGCACAAAAAAAGAGCAAGTGAAGTTAGTCGCAGAAAAAAATGTGAAGCTTATTTTCTTCAGACTTTTCTGTGAAAGCAGATCCCTGACCCCAGAGCATCCCACTGAGTTTTGAAATCATCACATAGAGTGCCTCCAAGCACTTGGTGGTGCCAGGCAAGAGGGGAGTGCTGCAGTTTGACTGCATCCTGGTTCCAGACACTAAAATTAGGGATAATACCAGCAGAGCAGATGGTCAAAAGAACCAACTCACTTTCATTGCAGAAACACCAAACACAAAGGTACACATGAAGATTGTTATGAGAAGAAATCATTTTAATTAGAGATCACGGAGGGTTAATAACTCCAAATCACTGTTGAAATAACCCAGCTCTCAGTTACTAGGACTCGCACCATATTCAACATGGAAATCCAAAAAAGTCCCTTATTCCTGAACTGTGACAGTCCTCATGACCTCATGCTCTTTTTATTTTTTTAAAGAATAGCTGAGACTCTCTGTTGCCTCTTCATCTCCCATTCTGTGATAGTGACCCGTTGGGAAGTGTCATCACATGCCACATCTGGGGTCGGACAGTGGGGGGCTCAAAATGCTTCTCACGTTAGACTCAGGCTGCATTAACACAAGGGTCATTGCTGAAGGTACCATGTGCTAGACTCTCACAGGACCCACCTGGATGCTGTGTGCATTTGTAAGTGCCAAATTTTAAAAGGGCAACAACACAGAAGAATGTGGGTGAGAAGGTGAGAGGATCTGGGGATGAGCTGGATGGAGCTAACCACACTCTCCTTAAAGTGGAGTCCCTGGCCAGTGGCAATGACATCACACACTTTATTAAAAGTCAGTTTCTTAGACCCACCCACACCTAATCAGACTCTCTGGGGTGGGATGCAGAGAGCTGTGTTTTAACAAGCCCTCCAGTGACTCTTAAAAACACTGGAATCTGCTTTGGGGGTGATGAAAAATTTCAAGAAGTAGTTTCTTGACGGTTACGTAACGAGATGGTTACATAACATTGTGAAACACTAAATGCCACTGAATTGTATACGTTAAAATGGCTAAAATTATGAACTTTATGCAGCTGTGTCCACAATTTAAAAAAACAAAAAACTAAACCCTGGAAAGTACTGATGCCTCATGATTCCAAAAATCTGGCCTTTCATCCTGAACACTTTAAAGCCCAGATCTAATGGATCAGAACTTATGGGGTTTCAGACTCAGAAACTTCATGTCTTTTTAATTCACGAGCAAGTGTAACCATCAGTAAGACCTGGGAGCCACTGCAAAGAACAAAGAAAAGGAGGCTATTGATTTTTAAATGATTAGAAAACAGGCAGGTAGAACCAGGAGCAGGTGGTGTACTAGTGCACCAAATGCAAACCAGTGGATTGAATTGACCAGGAAGCAAATTTTCGCCTGAGAACTCTCATTTTACCGGAGGGACCAACCATTGAATGAGCTGCCTCCAATGGCAGGCAGTTTCCCAACAACTAGGGCCTGTAAAGAGCCTTGGTAGCCACTAGGGATCCTGTGAGAACTCGTGCAGTAGTGAAAGACAAGATGAACTCTAGAGATTTGAGACTCTAAAGTCTCCCCCAGCTTTCAGATTCTGTCATTCACGGTGCCACGCCAGCTATTGACTGGCCTCTTACACAGAGAATAGCCCCATGCCAGCCTTGAAATGTGACAGGTCTGCCTACAGTCAGGAATTGGTTCACCCTGATTCAGCAAGGGCTGAGTAAAGGCCTTCACAGCTCTCAGCTTTAGACCAGGAGAAACTTCTAGGTTTGGGCATCAAAGGGAGTTGAGTTTTTCTAGCTGTCACATCAGAACTGCCCAACCACTCCATAGAACTTGCAATGCTCAATAGAACTTTCTGCAACAATAAAGAGGTTGTAGTGTGGGAAAGCGGAGAAGAGGCCTAGCACACAGTTTCATTATGGATTCGGACACACAGATAAAGGAACTTGGAGCATTCAAGAGATTTGACAGGCCTTTAGTGCTGAAGCACTGAAACAGGTACCGGCACACCAGTGGGCAGGCAGCAGGGAGATTGGCATGAGGAAGGCAGGGGGGCAGGAGGCTGGTCTGAAGTTGGCAGCAATCAAGCCTCCCAGTGCCAAGATCTCCATGCTCTTTCTCTGGGTCCTCTTATGAGCACCTCCCATAGTGAACACCTCTCTGCCATGGTGTCCTTGTGTGCCCCAAGTTCCCGCTCCCAAGTGCTTTTTGCACCAACACGATATCATGTGTGGGCAATGAAACCTGGGAGGAAAGCAAAACTGCAGGTGATGGCCGTAGAGGCTGGCAATGGGAATGAAAAAAAAAAAAAAAAAAAAACCTGACTGTAGTGGCAGGAAGAAACAGTGCAGGTTCTTTATGATCCAGGACTCGAGAGTCCTAGATCCCTCGGTGACTTTTCAGGCTTTTATTGAGCTTCTACCAGGTACATGGCAGGCAGGGGTACCGGGGGGGGCAGGAGGCTGGCAGGCCTCCTGGTCCCCGGCAAGTCTTCACTCCTTCTGGGGTCTCTGGCATTCTCTCGTGGTCTCTGCTTCTCTGCTGCTTCCACCACTGCTGTTCTCTTTCCTCTCTCATTCCCTTCTTTCTGCTGGCATCCCCATGATGCCACCCTTACAAGCCCAGTCTCAGCCCAGGTGTACCCACTTACCATGCCCACACCCTACTCCAGGTGCCCACCATCAGGCATGCATGTAGGACCGCAGGGATCCATCATTAATGCTAATGGCGGAGGGCGGAAAAGCCTGATAATTTTTCACTTACCCTACCCTGACTCCATTTTCCCTACAGAGGTTCTGTTTGTGCATAGTCCAGCATGGTATCCAATAGCCATCATTTATTTAATTATAATCAGGTTTAGTAGCTACGTGTGTCCTGTGGTGACCATATTGCACGGCACAGCTCTAGGGACTATTATACTCACAGAACTATTAATACTTTGTTTTGGAACCTGAACTAACCCCAACCACCCTTTAGCAGTTGAAGAAGAGGTCTGAGGTCCATTCGCCTCTCACTTGGGTATTGCTTCTGCCACAGCAAGAAGCCAGGTGCCAGTGGAGACTAAAGATTTGTTACATCAGCCTCTGCCTTAATTCTGAAAGGAGCTTATTGAAGAAATTTGAGATTCCTGAGACAGGTGCCTTTCAGACAGCTACCCGAGACCCCTAGAGAAAGAGGTTCCAGCATCCTGCTGCCTCCCTCCTTTGATGAAAGGCAAATCAGATGAGGACGTTCTTCCTTTGTTTTCGTTTTCTGCCTTCCTTAGACCCATAGGTAAACACACAATCACCAAGGGAGAAATTTCCAAAGCTGGGGCCCAGGTGACGAGGACAGCTCCTTCTCCATCTCTGATTACAGCTAAGTAGTTCAGGGAAGGGGACCTGCACTCCCGCAGGGTCTGCTGGAGCAGGTAGAAGATATTAATACCTAATTACCACTGTCCTTACAAGAAAACAATGGTAATTGTTATGAACACCTCTCCGCTTTTCGGCCCTGTGTGATGGGGAAGAAAGAGTTGTTAGGATCTGTTTTCTCTGGAGAGCACAACCTCTTGGGACTAAGGGGCATCAACAGGAGGGCATAAAACGGCAGGTCCTTGCACTTTACCCTCACCTGCTGTCCCGCAGCTTCTCTGAAATGCAGAGAAGTGAAGCTATTAAGAACCTTGATTAAATCAGTAAGTCTCAAAGGTGGTGTTTGTACCTGGAAGTGCAACAGACATCATACTGCAACCTAAAGAACAACCTGGGCTCGATTATTCTTGACAGCAGACAAAGGGCTTTTCGCTGGAATCAAAAAGAAAAGAAAATTACTTTAGCCGTGGATTCTATTTCCCACTCAGTTGTTTTCATCTAAGCTGCTAAGATGGAAGATAGTTACAGCAGACCCTCAAATGACATCCTTTCATTCAATGTCATTTTGTTGTAACAGAAATGAGAATAAAAGAATCTCAGCCACAATGTTAAGTGAGGACTTAATGTATAAGTACAGGATCTGGAGCCAGTCTGCCTTCATTCAGTTTCTGAACCTGTCTAGTATTTGCTATGTGAATTTGAACAAGTCTCTTAATGTCTTTAAGCCTCAATTTCTTCACCTTTAAAATGAAAATAACATTTATACCTCTTTGTAAGGTTGCTGTGAGGGTTAAATGAGATAGTCCATAAAACATACTTAGTATAGGATATGACATGTAAGATTCGATCAGCATAAAACTGTTGTTGTATTGTTGGTATATTCATTTTGTTGTTACAGTCACTTCAACATATATTTGAAATACAAATGCCAGCTATACAAAAGAAACCCATGCCGTAATATCTCTAAGTCCACTGTTCTTTACACTAGCAAAGTATCATTAAAAAAAAATAATAACTACAGCACATCTGATTTTCTCTCACTTTATTTCTAGGTCATGAGGGTCGAATAGGCATGGCCTCTATTAAGATAAAGGAAGACCATGAATTTGATGGAAAGAAACTCTATACGCACATTGCCGATTACCTGCCCACTTATGCAAGACCCCAGTTTCTAAGAATACAGGTGATATCTCTTGTTCTCAATGACCCTCCCTCTTAAAGTAGTCCCCTGTCTCTTAAAGAACAATTCCCCTTCTACCATGGCAAGTGGTACATTCGCCAAGTTTTCACTACCCTTTCCAGGAAGCTCAACCAAGAAAGCAGAAATAGCAGAAACCAGATCTTAATCACCTTCTTCCTAAAATGACAAAACAGTTCATTTAATAACAGTACTAGGAAATAGTTTAGAGTCTGTGGTGATGTATAACAGATGCTTACAATAGAAACGCTCCGACTGCCCATTGTTTCCAGTTTTAAGGAATGGAAAAATCCACTGCAGCCCTATACCTTTCTACATTATGAATTTTAATTGGGCATAATTAGTTGGAACTACCAAAGGCTTAACTACCACCACTAGAGGGATGGAGATTTGTCCTTCTCAAACATTAACCCCTTAGTTAATTTAACACCATCACTTTTGGGCTTTAAGCTCCATTATTCTGTACTTGAAGACTTAAGAAAGGAAGGATATGGGTACCAGATATTTCTGAGATCGTAGAGCTCTTTCTGTTGATGTTCATAAAGCACTGATATTTGCTTGACAGTGAGATGGTTGAGAGACATGAACATTGAAATAGCCTCAAACCATCACCTATTAATTGAAGAAACAAATCTTCAGTCTAACAGACAAACTGTAATACAATAGTGGTCTGTGTAGATCATCCCAGCATCACCCCACCATTGTTCATAATATTCCAGTAATACTTGATGCCACAAAGGGTTGAGGTTCTGAAAGCATGATGGATCAGTATTATTAAAAAAAAAAAACAAAAAAAACACCTCACTTTCATAGCTTTCAAATGAGCCGGGGATGCCAAAGGTGACCTGCCCCCCTCCACCACCCCACCCTTACCACTTGCCCTACACCCTACCTAATCTGTTTGCAAAACACTGCACAATATGGATTGTTTGATGTTTTTCAGGATGTCATTGAGGTCACCGGAACTTTTAAACACCGCAAAGTGACCCTCGTGGAAGAAGGTTTTAATCCTGCGGTCATCAAAGATGCCTTGTATTTCTTGGATAACAAAGAAAAAACGTATGTGCCTATGACTGAGGACATTTACAATGCCATAAATGATAAAACTCTGAAACTCTGAATATCCCTAGGAGAACCACTCATAATATTTGCAGAAAGAAACTGAATGGACCTAGTACAGCCACTTGATATAATCCAAGTTTAATTTGATTGAAGATTGTGAGGTGCAATTTTTTATGCATACCAATAAGGGGAGACTTTTTAAAATTACATCTGAACCTTTACAAGTGAAAACATTTAGAGATAATTATTTTTCAATTTGCATCTACTCTTTGTACTTGCAAACTAAGCTTGTTAGGGGAAGGTGTTATTTTTTTTTAATATATAATAAAATAGATGAACGCCAACATATAAGATGTCATTGTCTCTTTTTTGATTTTATTCAAAAAGCAAACCCTGAGTCTGACAGCCTCGTTGATAACTTTTCACAGGTGTCCCCACTCATAATAATAATGGTATTCTAGGTTTTTAAAAATGGCAGAGTTGGGAGAGGAGCCAGTCAGGAATGAACACCCCAGTGGAAATCCTGCTCCCATGTAAAGCCAGCTACCCTCACCTGTTAACATCCTGGCCGCTGCCTACAAACAGCACCATGCAGCAGGTGGGAATTCCATGCACAGTCTTTGAAAGAGCCTTATTGGCAAAACTCTCTCTATTGAAAAATATTCAATAAATAGCTTTCAGCTGTATCAAAGGTTGCAAACTCATGATCACCAGGATTCACACAGGGGTACTCAATGACATGGTGAGAGGGGACTCCAATCCCACCCTTGACACAGCACTAGAAATATTTTCCAAACTTATCCACTCTTTCAGGTGACTCTAAAGAGGACTCATGACTGGAACTTCTTCCCCACTCATTACTCCCAACACGTTGCCTGAGCACTTCATATGCATAAGGGACTTGCAGATGCCTAAGAAAAACCCTGGCTACCCCTGTGTCTTTTCCTATGATTTAGAGCAATTATTGCCTGTAAGGCAGCACTTGGGAAGTATCTCTGCCTTTGCTTTAATGATCTCCCAGTGAGAATCTGAACCCAGCTGATAGGAGATAACACAAATTTTGCTTTTGAGAGTATCACATTGTGCAATTGTGTTACTTGGAAACTTACTATAGTGAATCCAGCTATAAACAGAGGTTTTGTTAAAGCAGTGACATGATTCTATGACACAAGGGGTGTTTTTGGGAATAAGAGGTCATCACTTAAAACCTTAGCCAGAATATTAGTATTCCATAACCAGAGCCTACTGGAACTTGACCAACTTTAACTCACATTTTACACTATCCACTTGGAAACTGAGAAACTCTCCCTCCCAGCCTGATGGCTTCCTCAACCTCCCACTTTCCCTGCTGACCATTAAAACCTGTGAAAATGATGCCAAGAACTCCAAAATTCTCTTTCAAATCACCAGAACCAATGGTGAACCTACCCAGCTTGGGATAGTTGCAAAAAACAAGGGAGTAAAAGTGCAGGTCCCAGGAAAACCCAGCATAGAGCAGTACTTGAAAATTCAAGTCAATTAACAGTGCATGTCTATTCTACACACATGTTATTGGCTATAGCAAAACTCAAGCAATCCTAGAAAATGTCTAGTCAAACCTTTTGCAGTGCCAACAACCAGGCGCAGAGCAGGCAGGGGGCCTGGGTTCTGGAGTCCCGAAGTCTGGCAGAACTCCCAGCCCCCAAAGAATCTTTACTCTTTCTCTTTGGGCTCTCTCTAGTGTCATCTGGTGGCCCTGCCTCTCTGTAGTCACTTGTCCTCTCGTAGCCCTTCCACCGCGCTCTCTGCTGCCACCAAGCCAGTGAGGCATCATAAGGCCAATTTAGATAAGGCAAAAAAGCTGGTGTCATGGTTGGCAAGTCCCACGCAATTGTTAGGCACTGAAGGATGCTAAAGAAGGCAGGCAAGGCTTTCAAAAAAAACAAATCAAAAAAAAAAACAAAAAACAACTGTGGGGATGATGCCGAGGGTTCCAAGTTCTCTTTTAAGCTGCCTGAACTGACAGTGAATCTACCCAGCTGGGATGGTTGCAAAACACCTCTTTATTTCTGGATGGGCGGGGGGGAATTAGAGCCAGGGAGGTGAGAGACTTGTCTGAAGTCACATAGCTTGTAGCTTCCATGTTACAGGGAAAAACAGCATCTTTATAGACTTGTGGTTTCCAGAATGTAGTCCCAGCCCAGTAGTGTCTGCATCAGCTGGGAGCTTGTCAAACATGCAGTCTTTTTTTTTTTTTTTTTTTTTGCACAGAACTAGAGTATAGGCCAGAGGTACAGAGGGTGAGAGGATTCACCAGAGAGAGAGTGGGGAGCAGAACAGGCAGATTTACTGAAATACACTGCCTAGGAGAGCAGGGGGCGAGACAGGAGAGGTCTGCTGTGCCATGTGGGTAGCTCTTTGGCCAGGGAGGGAACTCAGGCCATAGCAATGATAGCACTGAGACTTAACCCCTAGGTCACCAGGGAGGCCCCAAACATGCAAAGTCATGGTCTTACCTACTGACTCAGAGCCCAGCAATCTGCTTTCATCCATCCTCTTGGATGCGCCAACACGGCTTGGCTTGAGAACCACCAGCCCAGAGCAGTACTTTTCAAGCTTTCATGTGCATTTGAAGCACCTGGGGACTCCAATGCTGCTGGCCCACACACCCCTTTTTAGAATAGCAAGCAGCTCTAGAGCAAAAGTCCCCAAACATTGTTGCACTTGGGGAGCTTAGGAAACTGTCAAAAATCCCAAAGCCCATGCCCATCCCATACCAATTAGATCAAGATTTCTGGGAATGGGAGCCAGGCATTAGTATTTTTTTGACTCGGTATTTCAGGATGCAGCAAAGTTCAGGAATACGGTCATGGGACAAGAGGCAACATGAAGATTTAAGTTCTTGACAAAGATTCTCTCCTTGACTAAATCCTCGCCAGACTTCTCTGAGCCCTCTTGTCATCCACGCCTGAACTTTGCCCTATAAAGACATGAACAAGAACTTAGTTTTAACAGCTCATGGGTGCAAACCTAGGATGACCCCAGCCCCCGCTTAAAGTTCACCAGCAAAAACTCAAGGCTACCAAAGAATTGGCTGTTTGTTCCAGTCACGCATCTTCCAGTCTCTGTGGGAAGGTAGGGCTGTAACCTCCACAAGCTGCAGTTGGCAAGCCCAGATGGTTTTCACATGGACCAATACCAATGCCCTCTCCCTGCTTTTGTGTTTCGTTCCCTGAGCCTGTTGAGCCCCCATCTGCCCCTCCCTACTCCCTCATTCTCTTTTTAAAATGCCCAATGAGGACCTCCCTGGTGGCAGAACAGGTTGAGCGCAGCACTGTGAAGCTGTCCCCAGCCTCTGCAGCGTGGGTTCGGTTCCCAGCTGGCCAGGGAGATTCCCATATGGTGTAGCAGGCCTCTCCCACCTCTCCCACTGCTCCCGTCAGCAGTGTTTTCGGTCCGTCTGCCTGTTCTACTCCCCACTCTGTTTCTGGTGAATCCTCTTACCCTTCTGCACCTCTGACCTATACCCCAGTTCCTGTGTAAATAAATCTTTTTAAAAATTTAAAAAATAAAATGCCCAGTGATCTCCATACAGATCAAAGTTGAAAATTATTCCTGGCTCTTCTCCCTTTTGCAGTAGTATATTATTAATTAAAATTTACCACTTTAACTAGGTCCCATTCCTGTTTACCTTTGACACTGTTAATATAACCAAAGTTCAGAGCCACTCTCTGTAAAAGTGCCATCTGAAACAAAAGTGCCATCTGAGAAAATGATGTTTTGGTCTATGAATTATCATAGGTAAATTGCCTTTGAGCTTCACTATAGGGCTCAGGAAAAAATGGAAACTGCACAAGTTTCAAACCTAGAGAGGAAACTTGAAAATGTACTGAAAGACCCACGAGCGGCTTCTGATCAAATGCAACCTTGAACAGTATGGCTCTGTGAGAACCCCATGGTCTTTTGAAAAGAAGGAGACCTCAGTTTGACCACTTTTAAGCTATGTGACCTGGGGCCCTAGTGTCCTGACTTGTGCACTGTAATTCATAGTGCCTAACTCAAGCAGCCTGCCTTCTTCACTCCAAGGGCTCCTTTAAACTCATTTTTCAGTTGAAATCTCTAGTATAAGTACATTCATTTAGGCGCCAGAACATACAACGATTAATCAATGTGTTTGGTGGTATTAAGTCACACGAGATAGGAGTTTTTTTTTTTGTTCAGAGAAAAGCACAATTTATTACTGCAATATAATTCATGTCACAAGCTAAATCACAGAAGCTGCCTGTCAGTCCACCACCATGGGCCTTTTCTTTCTGACCAACCTGCTGGAACCTTCTCAAGAATGCTATTTTAAACTCTCCAATTGCATCCTGACAAAAATTACGGACTCTCTTCCAAGAAAAATGCACATGCACATAAGCACATAGATCTGGCATATAAGTGTGAGGGGTCACAGACTCCCTGAAACACATTGCAGGTTCTGGTGGAAACCCCTGGTCTAAACCATGGCCTGCAGAGGACAGCAGGGCAGCTGGAGCCCACAGTGAGAGCTGCATTCGGGAAAGCTGGGGACGCTGTAGAACTTGATTAGCTTTTTGAAGGCACTTTTCTTCAGCAGCATCATGTCTTCTGGAAACCTAGAGAAGATTCTGATCCGGGAGGAGGCTCCATTCTTCACATCTGTGGGCAGCGGCTTCTGAGCACTCACAGGAACACTATTGCAACTAAGGGAACGCACTGCCTTCTTCTTATTCTGCACAGACAAATAATTGAACAGGAAGGAGGACAACTTGTGCTTGGTGACATCTGGGGCCTCCTCAGAAAAGCAGTCATCAAGTGGGTCCAGCAGGGTTTCAAGATGGCCACTGTCTTCCCTTCTCACAGGACTGGCTCCCATACGCTGAGGTTGTTTGATGATCTTCCTGGCCTGGGTTGGGTCATCGCCTGCCTCATTGACAGATTCAAGGGACATTCCATTGGCCATGGATCTGGGGCCCCATGTTTGAGGGATGAGGTTCCCAACCTGAGGGCTAGGTTGGGAAGTACAATGCTGACTTAGGATGAGAGTTGCTGCATCTTGAATGAGTTTCCAGTCTCTCAGAATGTCATCCCTGGTGGTGAACTGGGATGTCACTGTGAAACGGATGATGAGTTTGTCCTGGACAGTAGCCGGAATGAGGAAGAGGCGGCCCGTTTTAGCCATTTCCTTTAACACACTTTCTGTGAGGCAATTAGGACCCTGTTTGAAGGACAAAGAGAAGCGAAATCTGCATCACATCCCTTGTACACATACCCAGGAGGCCAGTATTTATAGTTCTGAAAGACTGACAACCCACTAGCATCATTCACAAACCATGGGAGATGGTAT